CTGATACCAACTTGTAACATCCCAAAATTCAAGGCTGAAAATTTCATTTTTTAAGAAGTTACTATAAAACCATAAGTAATAAAACATCCATAATAACATCTCATGTCAAAAACCAAGGTAGAAATAATAAAAACATGTTGTCATAAAACAATATCATAGTGTAATCCCCAAGATCTCATGTGCGGAAATATAGTGTGATGCACTGCGATCGAGCCGACTCATTTCCTTTGAAAACGAAGTACCTGAAACCAAAACTGAAAATCGTAAGCACAAAGCTTAGTGAGTTCCCCCATCATACCACATACCATATAAACACATAATGCCTAGCATATCTGGGTGCTGGCCTCCCCTTCGGTATCTTTCAACCGGTAACTGCCTAGCATATATGGGTGTTGGCCTCCCTTTCCGTATCTTTCAACCAGTAACTGCCTAGCATATCTGGGTGATGGCCTCCCCTTCGGTATATTTCAACCGGTAACTGCCTAACATATCTGGGTGATGGGGTCCCCTTCGGTATCTTTCAACCAGTAACTAGGGACTATTTCACCCCTACCACTACCACATAATAACATAACACATATATCATAAACTGTCTAACGTAACTGGGTACTAACTACCCCTTCGGTCCTTTCGACCGGTACTGGGGTCTAACCTACCTCCTCCTATCACATAACACATAACATCATAGCGTACTAGCATATAATTATAACATATAGCAACATACCAGATAATTATCACAAAGACAATTATCTCTACCATAACTCTTACTAGTGGGCCGACATTGTGGCCTTAGACCCACTTCTACTGGAAGGTAACTCACCTGACACTGCTGAAGTCCCGCACACCCAACCCCAGCTGTTGGATGACAGGTTCCCGAACTATCAACATCAAAATAACACCTAATTAATAATTGGGTTCCAATACATAATCATAAGTCCATGCTTGGGGGTAAAAGACTACTCTACCCCTAACTTGGCTTGATTTAAGCCCAAGGCCCAAACCAAAGGCCCAAAAGTCCAACTATAGCTCAAGGCCCAACATATGGCCCAATTTTCCAAATTGCGGCCCAAACCTTTACATGGTCATAATTAAAGGCCCAACTACTTAGTCCAGTCCAAACATTTGGCATTTCCAATGGCCCAATATCATATAATCATCAAGGCCCAAACTATGGCCCATCTACGACCCAATTTTCCAAATTGGGCCCACACCCTCATATGGGCCTTACCCTAAGCCCATTAAAATATTCTAGTCCATATGATTATTACCAAAGCCCAATGGAAAGGCCCAACTCAAGGCCCAAGTGAAATTAGATTTTTCACATAAAATGATGATTAGGGTTAAGTTTTCCTACTTAACCCATTATGGACTTAATCCATTAAGTCCAATATTGACTTAGGTTGACTGCAAATGATTATTAATTAATATATTGAGTTTAGTGAATAGTTCAAGTGCGGTCCCGATCAAATCCAAGCCCATAAATCCAATATTAGGGTTTTCTAAACCCTAATTAGGGTTTCCAACCCATCTTAGCCCAATAGGCCCAATAGCTAGGTCTTTTGATCAATTAAGGTTCATTAGGCCCATTAGTCACATGTTTGGGCTTTTAAGTCAATTAGGGCTTCATTGGGCCCATTAGGGTTTATTAGGCCCATTAGGGTTTTATTCCCTTTGTCCAAACATTCCAAACGAGTCATAATACTAACGAGGCACACCGCCACCTGACACGGCGGCCGGTGGCGGCAGCCACCACCCTACGGTGGTGGTTTGAGTTTCCTTTTTCATTATTCCGTCACGATTACAGTTTACAACGCAAAAATCCAAAAATAACACACACTAACTAACATAATCACACACCCATGGCGGCACTTGGCGGTAGCCACCACCTCATGGTGGTGGAAGTGGCCTTCTCTTCGTTTTCCGGCTAGACAAAACACACACCACACATACTAACACCAAACAGTTGGCTGAACTAACACACACACACACACATTGCACACACCATCACTTAACAACGGTGGATGGCGGCAGCAGAATCGGAAGGCGGCAGCTGCAACAGTTTTGCGATAGCAGCCACCACCTCACTGTGGTGGCGATGGTTTCTTTTTGGTCCACAAACCCGCAATCATGACAACAACGCGAGTGGAAAAACACACGGACCGACGACATCTTGACTTCAACGGAAACTGGTGGCGACGCCAACAACTGTTGGAACGGCGAACTCGAACGATGGCCATCGCAACGGGAGAATAGGACCTGCTGGTGGTCCTAGTCGTTACCAGCAAACAGTGAAGGCGTTGGGGGCGGCATGGACGTCGACAACTGTTAGTCCAGACTACGACAAAGGAAGGTTGAAGTGGCACCGGCGAACGGAGGGGACATTGATCCACGACGGCAGCAACGGCTGTACAACCGATGACCCATTGCTTCAAAGTTGTGTGTGGCTCTTCGTCTTCAATGGTGGTGACGATTGGAGGTGAAGAAGGGGATGGCGGCCGGTGAGATACATAAGGGGTGACGGCTGGAAAGGGTTTTGTTAGGGTTAGGGTTTGTATGGCTATATACCCGAGCGCTAGCAAACTAAGTGCCATAATGTCAAGATCAGCCCCTCCATCCAGAAATCATTTCAAAATAAATCCCATATTTACCTTTTAAACCCCAACATCAAAAATCCATTGCAATCTAGGTACAATATTTACAAAACAACCCCTTTGCCTCCAAAATCTCTTCAAATAAAGTCCCAGAAGTTACCATTTAGTCCCTGTCTTCATAAATGCTTACAAAACCAATCCGGAACTTACACTTTTGACACCCAATCTCTAAAATTGTGACAATTAGCTCCTCGAGACCAACACCTTACTATATAATTATTGATTTTAGGGCTACTATATATTTATTAATTAATTTTATTTATTTATTAAATAAACGGGGTGTTACATATATATATATATCAACAACTAAAAACAAAACATTAAATCACGGGTGCCTTAAGCAATTTTAAAAGTGCACAAATAGTCTCTTATTAAAAATAAAATTGTCTACTTTGTTGTATAAGAAAACGGTTTTTTATCAGAAAAGTCCCAAACTTTTGGAAAACGTTTTAATTTAGTCCCATTTTTTTTTAAATAGAAAAGCTTATGAAACCGACTAAACCTTACAGGACAAGGCTGATGTGGATGCTGACGTGGCATGCCACATTAGCGTCTGGTACTTTAATTTGCAAAAATCAGATTTTTAATTGAAAATGAGGGGAGTGAGATTCGAGCCCACCGCCTTTTACTTACAAAGCCACCCAATTTCCACTAGGATAGACACTTTTGTTAATTTCATTCCTCAAAGTTTAATATAGGGCGTGTTCTGCAAAATTAACTGGTAGCGGGTATCTGATAGCGGGTAGCGTTTGATTTTGGAGTGTTTTGTTGAAAGCTACTCCATGTAGCTTTTGATTTTGGAGCGTTTTGTTTAGGCTAAAAGCTAAACGCTCCTGTCGTCGAACAAGAATTTTTCTTTTTTACTAGCGTTTTTTCAAAAACTAAAAAGCAGAAGCTCTCAAACGCTGCGTGTCGAACACGCTCATAATCCTTTAAATGGTGAGGCTTTTAATACAATTATTATTATTATTATTATTATTATTATTATTATTATTATTAATAATGCAAAATATATATAATAATTCATAAATAACAATTTTAAATGTATAATCATATTTTTTTTACGTATTTTTATGTTTTTTTAAAGTATTTTAACATATTTTTATGTATTGTTTTACATATATATGTATTTTTTTAAAGTATTTTAAAATATGTTTACGTACTTTAAATGCATAAATACATTTTATACGATTTTATATGTAACTTTACATATTATATATATTTTTTTTATGTATTTACGTATTTTTTATTTATATTTAAATATTTTTTAACGTATTTTTATGTATTTTAAACGTATAAACATATTTTATACATACTTGTGTATATTTTTTGTATTTTACGTAAAAATACTTAATCTTATAAATAAATACATACGAAATATGTTTATACATTTAAAATACATAAAAATGCATATAAAATAAATAAAAAATACTTAAAAAACAATATAAATACGTAAATAATTATATAAAAATACATAAAAAATACATATAAATATGTATACGTATGTAAAAATAAGTTTATACATTTAAAAGACATGAAAATACGTCAAGCATATTTAAAAACACATAAAAAACACATCAAATGTAAAATGTAGAAATATAAATACGTATAAATATGTAAAAATATGTTTATAAATTTAAAATATATAAAAATATATAAAAATACTTAAAAAATATGTAAAAAATATATAAAAATACAAAAAAGCAAATAAAAATATTTAAAAAATCAATATAAATACGTTTAGTATATTTATTTATGAAGTATTATAATTATTTATGTTTTTAAATATAATTTTAATAATAAAATAATAATAACAATAATAATAATAATAATAATAATAATAATAATCGCATTAAAAACTTCAAGATTTAAAGAATTATATTAAACATTGAGGATTGAAATAAAAAAAAAGGTGTCCGTCCTAATAGAAAGTGGCCCGGCCAAAGGTGGTGGTTTTGAATCCTCATTTTCTGTTAAAAATTTGATTTTTACATAATAAAGTACCAGACGCTGATGTGACATATCCGTCAGCATCCATATCAGCTCTTGTCGAGTTCTTATCGAGTTGGCATGTCATGTGACATAGGTGACAAACAGGTTAAAAGATATTAAAATGTAAGATTTAGTCGATTTTTTGGGTTTTTCTATTGAAAAAAAAAAAAAAAAGTTGAAAATTGAATTTTTTTACGAAAGTTTGAGACTTTTATAATAAAAACCAAAAAAAAACCATTAAAAGTTTAATGTTGTCTATTTTATTGCACGTGTTAGGAAAAAAAATAAAAATAAAGAAAAAGCAGAGTTGTTTTCCTGACTTTTGACAGACTAGGAGTTTGCCTTCTCTCTTCTCACCGTTGCTCTTTCGTCCCTTCTATGTTTTTTTTCACAACAGCATTCTCACGTTTCTCTCTGCTCCTTTCCGACCACCATCTTCTTTTCGCTGCCATCGCCATTTTTCTTCAACAGCCAGGCAAATTACAAACCCTTCGGAAATGGGGGTTCACCGGGAGGGTGAACGGGTAGAGGGTAGACGGTTGATTTGAGACGAGAGAGGTCTAAACCTTTCTGTTCGAGCGTGTTCCACAGCCTTTTGGGTAGGACTAAAATCGATAGGATCTGTCTCATTTGACTTCGTTAATACTGCCTGTTTCATCCATGCCAAATACAGTTTGAAAATGCTTTTTCTGTTACTGTTCCGGCCATCCACTTTACCAAACGCTACTTAAGCAAACTTGATTTTCTATTAATACACAGCCACCGGAGTTTTCTACCATAACCCTACATCTCCACCAATATCAATAGTCAATGTCTTATTCACGGGTAAACCTTGAAAGTTATCTAATTCCACTGGAGGAGATTAATCGTGCCACCGGAAACTTCAGTCTTGAAAGATGTATTGGAAGCGGTGGATTTGGTAAGGTCTACAAAGGGAAACTCTCGGAACGCTGGCAAAGCCGCACAGCCGCTATCAAACGCCTAGATAGGGATAGCCGCCAAGGCGAGCACGAGTTCCGCAACGAAGTTGAGATGATTTCAAAATTCCACCATGAAAACATCATCTGCTTCATTGGTTACTGTGATGAAAACAACGAGATGATTATTGTTTATGAATATGCTCAGAATGGAAGCCTTGATTATCATCTCGGAGACCTAAAGAAGATGCGCCGCATAACATGGGCACAACGGCTGAAGATTTGCATAGGGGCAGCAAGAGGAATCAATTATCTTCACTCGGGTCTAGGGGAGCACAACCGAGTAATACACAGGGATCTCAAGAGTGCTAACATATTGTTAGATGGTGATTTGGTTGCAAAAATTTGTGATTTTGGCTTGTCAAAACTTTGTCCCAGAAATCAGGCAGATACCCAACTGTACACAAGGGTTGCGGGTACGCAGTTTTACACGGATCCCACCTACCATGAAAGCAACATCCTAAGTAAAGAATCGGATGTATATTCATTTGGCGTGATACTCTTTGAAATGCTGAGTGGGATGCTGGTTTATTGTACAAGGAAAATTGGAGATGATAGGCCACAACTTCTGATGAATTTTGTTCGGCGATACCATCTGAAGGATACTGACAGGTTAATTGATCCGGATATAAGAGATCATATTAATAGTCGTTCTTTTGATATGTTTAAAGAAATTGCATATCAGTGTATTACTCTCAATGTTATGGAACGCCCTACAATGGACACGGTTATTGAGAGGATTCAGAAAGCATGGGATATTCAAGTAAGTCCTTTAATTTTATTATTTTGAAGGAAATATAGTTCCATCGGCAAGAATGGAAATCACATACAATTAACAGGTTTAATTGTTATGCCTTTGCCCTATCAAACTTTCTTTTTAAGAAGGTTGAATTGCAAATCTTCATTTCCATTTATTGATCACATTTATTCTCAGATGCACAAAGTATGAGATTTACAAGTAACAGGTTGTTTGAATTTTATTGGTAGAGAAGAAAAGCTTAAATACAAAAAGACCTGTTATTTAAACAGTACAAAAATTAAAATGATACAAGAATAGGAAATTTTACTAAAAGAACATCTAGAAAGGATCAGATGGAATAGATCAATAGAATCTATGCCCTTTCTTTAATGAGAAGTGATATTTCCGTTTAAGAAATTGATTCATCCCCATAAGGTACAACACATTTACAGCTATTGTACAAGTCATCAAAGCATATATTTTGCGTGGATGAGTTAATTTGTTAAGTGGAAATATCACCTCCCTTTTTTGATACATGATTTGGTGTATATTGTTGAGAGGAGTTTGAATGCCACTGCAGGAGAATGTGGATATCCTTATTGATTGTGTTATGAAAGATATGGGATTCAGTTATGGCAAACCTCTTGCAGCGTTTACCATATACAAATGGCTTATCCATTATAAATATCTTGAAGCTGAAAGAACTACTGTGCTTGATCGACTTATTGAGATTATTATTTTGGCAATTAAGGTACTGGGCATCAGCTATTAATTCCCACCAACAGAATGTGAGAGCATATCTGCAATATGTTTGTGTTTGCCGGTTGATTTTTCCCCTTAGGGTTAAAAGAGTAAACTTATCGAGGATTATTTCAACCATAAATTGACTGTTCACCTTGTTGGAGGATAAAAATAATAATAATAATGAGATGGCTTATTGGTTATCAAATGCATCTACATTGTTATTCTTAATCCAAAAAACTCTAAAACTTGATGGTACAAATTCAGTTTGGAAACCATCACCTCGAGCTTTGCTATTGCGAAGAATCTCAATGGTATTAATTTTAATTCTATTATTTTCTTCATCATTCCAGCTTAATGATGTGGTTTCTACTTGTGTGTATATTTAGGGCTTTCATTCATCCCAGTCTTCTATCGGCCTTTCCGAGGCTGAGGCTGCACTTAACATAGTACAACAAGTTGAAGCCAAATACCCAGCTTTGCTTTTCAAGCAGCAACTAACAGCATATGTAGAGAACTTGTACAACATTATTTGTGACAACTTGAAGAAGGAACTGGGACCAATATTTGCCTTATGTATTGAGGTAGTTGGAATTTAAGTCATATCCTCATCTGTAATCTCCGTGTATTAGTGTTTTTTAACCATATATTTATTAATGTTTCTTTTGTCAATAGACACCCCATATTACTTATGATGCATGTATCTTTAATTCTATATTATAATTCTGAAAAGAGTAAATTACACGAATGGTCCCTATGGTTTGGGGTAATTTGCACGTTTGGTCCCTAACTTATTTTTTTAACTCGGAAGGTCCCTACAGTTTGTTTTTGTTGCGCGCTTGGTCCTTGTCTTACCTAAAAAGACTATTTTGCCCTTGATTTTTTAATTTATTTAAATAAACACACCCCAACCCCACTTCCACCTTACCTTACCTTACCTACCCCACCTTATTCAAATAAATTAAAAAATCAAGGGCAAAATAGTCTTTTTAGGTAAGACAGGGACCAAGCGCGCAACAAAAACAAACTGTAGGGACCTTCCGAGTTAAAAAAATAAGTTAGGGACCAAACGTGCAAATTACCCCAAACCATAGGGACCATTCGTGTAATTCCCTCTTCTGAAAATTTAGGCTCTACAAATGTCCGAGAGAGTGCCAACATCCGGACAGTCCTTTGGAAAAGATTCTCAATTCAGTCGCTGGCGGGGACCATTACTTGCCTTATGTATCAAGGTAGTTGGAATTTGACTCACTCTCACCTATAATCTCCTTGTATTAGTGTAACCATGCATTAATATTTTTATTGTCAATAGACTTCCCATATTAATTACTTATGATGCATTTATCTGTATTATAATTATGAAAATTTAGGCTCCACAAACGTCCGAAGGAGTGCCAACATCCGGACAGTCATTTGAAGAAGATTCTCAATTCAGTCACTGGCAAGGCATTGTTGATCGTCTCAACACTCTTCTCACCTCATTGAAAGAAAATTTTGTATGTGCAGATATTAATTGATAAACATGCACGATTATGATGATTCATATTGTCATGGAAATTATACAAATTTACCTAAACTTATAATATTCCATCGAAGAGCCTTGCAAAATTTCATAAGATAGTTTTTGCCAAATTTTCTCATATTGTTGCATTTCAGGTGCCTCCGATAATCATTCAGAAGATATTTGCTCAAGCTTTCTCATATATCGATGTGCATCTCTTTAACAGGTGTTTGGTAGCTCAACTTTCTATTTTTGGATCATTTTCTTGGTTTCCTTTCATGAAGACATAAACATTTTTTTTTACAATTATTTTCAATCTATAGTATTCTTTCGCGCCAAGAGTGTTTTAGCTTCAGCAATGGGGAATATGTGAAAGACGGTTTAGCAGCTTTGGAGCTATGGTGTAGTCAGGCAAAAGATGAGGTAATGACTTATTTTGACCTTTCTCATGTTGTGTATATTTATGCTTTTGTTCGACATCTTTTCTTAGAAATGAATGTTGTTGTTTGTGGTTTGGAATAACTTATGGAACATCATAAGGAGTGATATGTTATTAAGCCTTAGCAATTGCATTTTTAACAAAAGACAAGAAAAAAAAAGTAAACATATCAAGAATTCTTCCAATAGTGTTCTTATGCTTCTTTTCTTATTAAGGCATTTTACTTTTATAAATCTGATCAATTATAGCAATGTACTTTCATTTATTTCTATTACATCACTGTACTTATGATTCTTCTCTTATTAAGGCATTTTAGTTTTACAAATCTACCCAATCATAGCATTGTACTTCCATTTTTTTTCTTACAAAAAGATTATATTTTAAAAATCCCCCACATTATATCAGTGAAAATTGTCTTTGTACTTGGATGGTATTTTTTTAATTAGGAAGTTTCAGGGTTGTAATAGGAATGAATGAAAGTAGTATGTTATAATTGTTTAAGTAACTCTTTGTAATGTGATAAGCTAAGCCTTACTTGGCTACTGTAGGATCTAAAAATTGTTTTCTATATTACAGTATGCAGGCTCAGCTTGGGATGAACTTAGGCATATTAGACAGGCTATTAGGTTCTTGGTATGTTTCTTCCATCTAAGTCATACCTTAAAGGCTTAGTTTGTTTTTTTGTTTTCCTAACAAAGGAATTTCTGTTTTTTTTTCTCTAATTTCAAAATAAGTTATTTCAATCATTCATTGTTTTATGTGTCAACCATATTCAATGTTTTTATGATCATCAGACTATGCATCAGAAGCACAAGATGTCGTTTGCTGAAATCACCAATGATCTATGCCCTGTAAGTCTCTCTCTCTCTCTCATGCACACACATATGTTGAGTATTGATATTGACATATATGCAAGTACAATCGCAGCAGTAAAAAGGTCATGAACACACGTCACAAACAAATAACAAAACATAATGCTACAAAAACCTTAGCTAAATTAAATAATGACAACGCATAATATATTTCATCTCACACGCCCCAACTTGCCAAAAAAACACTAAACAAGGTCTAACTCTTCATACATGTCATGAAAGCTATAATAAAATGATAGATATTTCTAAAATCATCAATTTCCACCAGTTTGCATTTGAGTTTTTGGTTGAACCACTTTTGAGGTTGGGTGCGATGTTTCTCAAAATGTTGAGGTTAACCAAACCACAGAACCCCTACGTGGTAAACTCACCAAACATATTCCATTTGCTTATTCAACTAACAAGTTCTAAAGACTAATTACATGGTAAGTACAACCAAAAGCCAACCACAATGCCACCATAAAACAGAAAGTTAGTATCCCAGTGGACTATATTTGAATGGAGTGTAGGCTTAATCCACCATTTTTGAAAACATTTGTCCTCTTTCAACTGATTCTGATAAAAGGTTGTCTGTGAGAAATAAAGTGTAGTAATAGAAACTGGTGGACATGTTTTGAAAGAGTTTTAGAATGTCAAGGGCTTTAATTTAATAAATTATTTTGAAACTACATATTTTGTTGAACTATTTTAAACAATCAAGAGAACTTGGTCCAGATGAAAAATCTATAATTTGTTTCCAAAATAACTTATGTGGAGATCCTAAAATCGTGCAAATTGAGACTTGCATTTTGTTTCACCCTTCTTCCTTACGCAGCTTAAGTCCCAGGCCTTAATAATCACACATTCAAACCAATTTCAAAATAAATATAAACTAAACCATGATCATTGTCTAAAAGATCTTATATTGAAAAAACCAAAAGTATCAAGGCTCGCTATCCCATTTTAATTCTCTGAGTTGACATTATTTGATTCCAGATTCTAAGTATACAACAGTTGCATAGAATATGCACTATGTCTTCTGATGACACACACAACACTCGGATTGTATCCCAAGATGTAAGTGCTACATGTGAAATTTCATCTTTGATAGGAATTGAAGCTATTTTAAGATATAAAAATTAGCTTGTCATTATGTTTTTAATCAGGTTACTTCAAGAATGAAAACACTTATGGCAGCAGATTCCAATGGTACCAATACCTTTCTGTTAGATGAAGATTCCAGGTATAATGCTTGGTGTTGTTTTTGATGATAGCTGTCATTTCAGAAATTATATGGCAGCCACTCCTGATATTTGAGAAAAAATGACCAAAACACTTAATGTTTATTCAATACTTGTTAAATATCACAAAGTTTAAGGTTGCGTTTAGTTGTGGAAAAATTGACCGTTTCTCGAAAAAAATTTCCAAGAAAAATGAGAATTTTGAAAACGCGTTTAGTTCGTGTATTTTTCTAAAATTTTCACGGAAAATGAAAATTTTCTGTTTTCTAAAATTACAAAGAAGTTGGAAATTTTTGGAAAACCAATAATCATTGTTTTCCACATTTTTTCTAGTTCCAAATTTTTTCTAAAATATAAACACACACCCACCCCCACAAACACACACACACACAAACACACACCCACCCCTACACCCACAAACACACACCCACCCACCCAACACCACTACCACAATCACCGACCTACCATCACCACCACCTCTGCCACAATTGCCACCGCCACCACCACCGCCTGTCATCACCACCATCACCGCCGTCATCATCGACACCACCACTGCCCCCACCCCCATCCTACCATCGCTACCGTTTTCTAAAAATGAAAACCGATAAAAATATACACATCTAAACGCGTTTTCTGATTTTCTAAAATTGAAAATGAAAAATGAATAAGTTTTTAACTAAACACGTTTTTTAAATTTTCCAATGAAAACCGAAAACGGAAAACGAAAACTTAAAAGGGAAAACGTAAAACTGTTTTTCCGTAACTAAATGCAACCTAAGAGTTCGTTTAGTTGCTGAAAATTTTCTAGTTTTCAATGAAAATTTTGAAAACGCGTTTTGTTGATTCAATTATCAAAAATTTTCTGTTTTCCATATTGTATGTAAATTAGAAAAGTGATTTTTACAGTTTTTCAAAGTTTTCTAAATTTCTAAGATGGAAAATAGAAACTCCACCGGTTCCAACCAAACGTGTTTTCTAAAATTTTCATTGAAAACTGAAAATGAAAACTCAACTTTATTTTCTGAAAACATTTTTTTGGAAAAAGAGAACAATTTTCTACAATGCGTTTGGTTGTGGAAAATTGTTTTCATTTTTCTAGAAAATAGAGTTGAGTTTTCATTTTCAGTTTCATTGAAAATTTTAGAAAATGCGTTTGGTTGAAACCAGTGGAGTTTTCATTTTCAGATTCATTTTTGTAATTGCACCAACCCCTATTTTACATAATATGACCCACCCAAAACCAATATCCAAAAATTATGAGTTGAATGGAGTTGGTTTTAGTTTTATTGTGAATGTTCTTGGGAACTTCCTAGTTGGCATTATCCTTATTATCCATTGCAAAAACAACTGTATTACCATTTAACAATCTGTATTTCATAAAATGCAGAATGCCTTCCTTTGTTGATGACCTCTCCACATCCTTGGAAGTAAAACATTTTGTAAATGTTAAACTTGATGTAGAACACGTCAATTATGAAGCCCTCCATTTTTTGTACAACTAAAGATCGGAATAAGAGATTATGTTTTCCCAAGGTCTATAGCGTAGTTTTGCATGTATGTAAAGTTACAAGAAAAATGTATTACATGCATACATTAAAAGTTACCCTTCAATTTTAGGGCTTGTGATGGAACTAATGATCAATAATATGAAATGTAGTTGAGGGTGTGTTTGGTTTGATGGCATGATAAACTCATAAATGAATGAAATTTACAAGGCAATAGAATGGGTCACATCAAGTATTTCATTGTAATGTTTGATTCATCTGTTGAAATAAAGGAGTTAATAAATAGATGTGATTTTTTTCAAAATTCCCTAATTTTTTCTTTGCACTTAGAACCGTCCTTGTGGTTAAAAAAAATGTGGTTTTCGTCCCAAGCAAACATGAAAAAATTATATTGCCTTTTTATCTTATTTTTTTAGTGGGTCCCATAACCCCCACACACTCCTATTCTCATTTCCCTTCCATCCCCTTTCTTCACTACCTTCACATTTGACAATTAATTCCTACCCAAACACGTCCTCCCTTTGCTCTAATAAGCTTGTTATGCCTTAGGTTTCGCGACTGTACAAAGATGTTAGGCGAATATCCTGATAATAAACACAAAACGTAAGATGTATACCAGGGGATAATGGGGGATAATATGTGGCAAACGCTTTCATGATCAAGTTAGTTTCAACTTCGATAAGCGTATACGTATTTGAGAGAGTAAGAGAGTATGATCTTGTACATTCATTAGTCAACACATTTATCCTCATTCTTTGCCCATTGTCAAGAATTGTGACTTTGTCTTTGCCGAGCAGGTTTTTGTCTCATGGTATTTATAAGATTGTGTGCGTAGGTAATGTGATTGATCACTTTTCTTATGACCTAAGCACTATTTTGCTCTTGTTGTATTATAGATGTGATTTCACTATTATTGATGCTTAATTGCTTTAGATCCATTAATCATTCTCTTCTGATATAGATTCACCACTCGTCTTAGAATGGCTCGACCATATTAGTTGGTTATGCTAACTTGGTTAGATTAGTTCGGCCATGTCGAACCAATCATATCAGTTTACCTTGATGAGGGTGTATGTGTAATTTATACATACATCATATTAAGTCCCTCATTCTGGATATTACAAATAATAATTCAGATTTATCAAATCGTTTTTGGGTAATTCGACAATGGATAAGGATTATTCGTCTTTAACTTTGACAAGACCGTTATGTATGCCTATTGCTCATCATCATCCTATAGCCCTATAACTCTCAATTCAAATTTTGAAATTTGATTCCATTTAAGAAGTGTTTAAGATCTCAACCAATGTTTTATCCGTTCCTTTAATAGCCTTTTTCTATATATATGATTGCAACCGCTTTTCCTTTCTTCGTTACCTTTTCTTTGTGCTTCTTTTTTCACAAAAATGTTTAAGGGTAATCAAGGTATTGATACCATATTATCCTCACTTTCCCCCAAAAATTTGGATGTAATCATCAAAAACTACAAAAAAATGACCCTAAGTTTTGTCCTCAACTTCCCGACGATGTGCAGTTTTTCGCCAATCCGCATAGGGTGCCGTCGGGGTTTATCATAAGTTTTTTAGGGATGGACTTAGGGTTCATGCTTTCGACTTCTTGAAGACTGTAACACCCGATCTTTGAGGTATTATTTTTACTTATTTTAAAAGCTTAGTTTCAAGAAAATCTACCCTACGTTGGGCGTATGATAGTCTCCTACGCAGGGCGTAGATCAAGGTATGTAGGGCGTAGGAGCCCATAACCAAAACCCTACTTCTTGGGGTTATAAGCCCTATTTAAAGGCTCAAACCATTTGAGGCCCTTCCATTCTCAGCCTCCATCCTCCCAAACGACCTTCTTAGAAACCCTAATCCTTATTTGTGAGTTTTGAGCCTTTGGAGTGTTTTGTGTTCACTTTTGAAGGAAGAAGAGCATTGTGGAACCACTTGGGATCTAAAATCAGTATAGATCTTGGATTTGCATCTACTCATCCATCTCCTAGATGGTATAAAATTTATACCTTGATGTTGTTTTATGTTAGATCTAGTTATGCTTAAGAATTTCATGCTTTTGTCCCCATAACCATGGTTTATATGAGTATGAGCTACTCCAGACCATTGAAGTACCTTTTATAGACGTCTTTAGGGTTGTTAAGTCATAAAAATGAGAGCTTGATCACTCTCATCTAACCATGCATGGGCTCTTGAGCAATATATAGCTTTATGGACCTAGGGTTGAGTTTGTGCTCTTTGTGACCATGAAAATTGATAAAGGCGGAGACTATCCATTAAGAAGTCTATCTTGCTTAGATCTGAGAGTTTGAGAAGCTAATCTTCTGTATTAAGAACCTAATGAAAAAAAATTAGACACCAGCATTCTACGCAGGACGTAGTTTTAGTTACGCTGGGTATAGCTCTTTTCTGCCCCGATTCGCCACCTTGAGCTCTACGCGACGTGTAGAGCTGCATGCTACGTAGACATAGATTGGCTGGAGTTGACCATTAACTTTTCAACCATTGATCGTTGACTTTGACCAAGTTTTACTTTAGGTCAAATTGAGTACTCTGAGCTGTAAGGTGACCTGTAGAGCTAGTATCGGATCAGTGATCATTTGTAATGTCCGCAGATTCGGGCTATTCAATTTAGAGATAGTAAGCGTTAAAAATGACTTTTTGATAGAAGATTATTTAGGACAAAGAATCTGTAACATCCCAAAATTCAGGACCAAAATTTTTATTTTTAATATAACTAAAACACTATTGTAACTTTGTTCACACACAGAAAAGCCTTTCAAATAAAACATTTATCAGAGTTCATTCCCAGAAATCATACATTGCGGAAAAACACGGGTGTATGCGTTGCGATCGTCCCGAGCTCTTTTACTTGAAAACTGGAGGTACCTGAAACCAATTACCTGGGTGTTAGCCTACCCTTCGGCCTCTTTCATATCAACATACTGCCTAACATATCTGGGTGTTGGCTTACCCCTTCGGCCTCTTTCAACCAGATACTGTCTAGCATATAAGCACATAAATCACATACTGTCATACATAACCATGAGCCATACATATATCATAATCAATAAAGATGTTATGTGCCGAACATAGTCTTGCCATTATGCCACAGGCCGCCACGTGGTCTTTCTTGCCAAACCGGGGGCCACCCCCTCGATCTTACAGACAAGTGCCAAGAGCCACCTCCTGGTCTTCCATGCAAGCATCACAAAGACAACTAGCATACATACTACTCTACTTAGCTAATTAGCATACAGTGTGCCAAGAGCCACCTCTTGGTCTTTCATACATAATGCCTAGGGCTAACCCCCGGGTCTTCCTATCATACATAATAGCATACAGTGTGCTAGGATCCACCTCCTGGTCTTTCATACATAAGGCCTAGGGCTAACCCCCGGGTCTTCCTACAACACATAAACCAAATGGGCCAGCATTTGTGCCTTCGACCCATACAAACAGTAAGGAAACTTACCTCACACTGCTGAAGTCCCGCAGATAAAACTCTAGCTGCTGGCTGGCAAACCCCTCGAACTATCAATCTCAAAACAACACCCAATTAATAATTGGGTTCCAACGCATAACCTTAAATACACACTTGGGGTAAAAGGACCATTTTACCCCTAACCTAGCTTGGTCCAAGACCAAGGCCCAAACTCACACTCTGGAGGCCTAAAAGCCAAATAATAAATCAAGGCCCAACATATGGCCCAATTTTCCAAATTGGGCCCAAACTTTTACATGGTCTTACCTTAAGGCCAACCATTTATTCTAGTCCAAATATTTGGCATTCCGATGGTCCAATATCTCATAATCATCAAGGCCTAATTATGGCCCATCTATGGCCCAATTTTCTAAATTGGGCCCAAACCCCTCACATGGGCCTTACCCTAAAGCCCATCCAAATATTCTAGTCCTCATACTTGTTCTTGGATGGCCCATTAATAGCCCAATCACCAAAACCAACATAAAAGCCCAACTCAAGGCCCAAACAAAATTAGGGTTTTCACATAAATTGACGATTAGGGTTAAGTGTTCTTACGTAACCCATTAATTTCAATATTGCGTTAAGATAATTATAGGGGCATTATTATGTATTATTTAGAATTTAATTAACGACTTCAATGCGGGTCCCGACAATCCAAAACTAACATCTCTAAAAATTAGGGTTTTCTAAACCCTAATTAGGGTTTCCAACCTAAACACGAGTCAGTTAGTCCAATGGTTAGGTTTTTAGATCAATCAGGGTTTCATTAGGTCAAATAGGGTTTCATTAGGCCGGGAACCACCCACTACCACCTCGGGTAGTGGTGGTCAACGACGGCTCACGGCGGCGGCCACCACCTGTGGTGGTGGTTATAATTTTAGACTAAATATTTCCGAGCATCCCAAATAACAATCACACATACAAATGCACACAACCACCCAAGGTGGCGGCAAAATGGCGGCATGAGGTGGCAGCCACCACCTCACGGTGGTGGTGACGGGTTGTTTCCTTGAATAATCCGGCCAAACATGAACATTCCACATAACTCCATCAAACCCACACTTAAACACACAGTAAATCACACACACAGCCATATCACGCACACACATCCACCTCTTACGATGGCTGGCGGTGGCAGAAGAAGCACCTTAGCGGCAGCCACCATGGTTGGCTGCTATGGTGGTCCGCCTAGCTTTCCGGTCAGCAACACACCCACGCACACACTTCACGAACACGAGCTGTGCACAGGAAACGCACCCAATCACAGCCACCCTCGCGGTGACGCATGGCAGTCGGAGGGAAAGGCGATGGAACAGTCTCCTGGACGGCAGCGACGATGCGACATCGGAAGAGAAATGGAGAAGGAAGAAGGTGGTGTGAAACCCACCGAGTACAGCAGCAGCATAAACAACGAAAAAGAGACGCCTGCTCGTGATCCTCGTCAGCAACTGGAGCAACGCCGACGCTGGATGGTTGACGGCTCACATGGGTGGCTACATCGTCGGCTGGGAACGACAGTTGTTTGGCGGCCATGGCTAACCGGAAAATGAGTGAAGCGGGTGGTGGCGGCTGAAAGTCACACATGGCGGCTGAAAAGATGACG